GTCCCCCCCGAGTCTCCCCCCCGGCCGCGGGCCCCCAGCTCCAGCGTCTCCCGCCCGGCGCCGGGTCCAGTCCGGGCTTTTGCGGGCCTCAGGCTGCGGGGAGGCCGCCAGGCTACGCGCAGGCCCCGGCCCTGCCCCGGCCGCCCCCTCCCCGGGCCAGGCCGGAGCGCTGCCCCGGGGCCAGGTGTGGCCGGAGCGGGGGGTTCCCCGGCTCTGGGCCCGCCGCGGGGTCCTGTCCCCGGGCGAGGCCAGCGGGACGGGACCGGGGCCCCCGGGGACGCTGCTGCAGGGCCTGGAGCTGCTGCTCCGTCTCCGGCACCTGCGTAGCGCTCGGCGCCGTGGGGAGCTGCCCCCGGCCGGGCCTGGGCCCGCGGGGGGCGGCCTTTGCCTGCGGACTGCCCCGGCTCTCCTGGGTGCCGTGGCCTAGGCCCGGGCCGTGTCAGGGGAGGGCCCGTGTGGCGCTGGCCCTGCCGGGCCCTGGCTCCGGGTCTCGCTCCTGCAGCGGGTTTCGAGGCGGGGCCGCCCATGTAGCCTGCGCCGGGCCCCGCAGCCTGGGGGGCGGGTTAGTGCAGGGGAGCAGGGGCTGTGTCTTCAGCTCCCCCGAGGGGTGCCCAGCCCCTGCCCCTGCCCCAGCCCCTCCGCGGGGCCTGGTGCCGACCCAGCTCTCTGCCTGTGGGCACTGGGAGGTCTGCGCCCAGGTTTGTATCATGGGCCACTTGGGCTGTTTCTTTCTTTCTTTTCTACCAAAACACTTGTCCCAGTACAGCCCCTCTAGTGGGGTGAAGGTGCCCGTTACCATAGTGTCTCCTCCTTCCCGGACAAGACTGGCTGTACCGGTACAAATACATTTATCCCAGGGTAACTGTCCGCATTCGGGAGCTGTCCTGCTTTCACTAAACAGGTGCGACGACTTCTCTGTGTAGACAGGGCTTTCCCTGCAAGGCCCACGGGGGCATCTGTTTCTCCTTCCCTTGCTCGGTGGTGGTGGCATGGGTTCAAGGTCCCAGGGGCACAGGAGCTGCTGCTTGGGCTGCCCCGCCCTGGCAAATGGCGACGGGGTCTGGGCTTGGATTTTGCTCTCTGGAATCGGTGGCTTTGTCCAGCCCCGAAGGAGCCGCTCGTGAGTTGTGTCTGCTGTGTGTGAGCACAAGGCTCGTATGAGAAAGAGGAGAGGACTCTAGGCGCCAGCAGCCTTTGGGTGCAGCTGCTGCTTCTCAGAGGTTTCCAAAAACCCGTTACCTCTGTGGGAAACGTGACCTCTCTACTCGTCCATCGATCTCTCCTCCTCCTGTGTGCCGGGGCAGCTGTGTCATGGGAGCTGTGTTCTCTCCTTGCAGAAAGCTATCGATCTGGTAACAAAAGCGACTGAGGAGGATAAGGCCAAGAACTATGAGGAGGCGCTGCGGCTGTACCAGCACGCAGTGGAGTACTTTCTACATGCCATCAAATGTGAGTCTGGCTCGTCTCTCCTGCATCGCTGGCCTGGCCAGCCTGTGCAAGATCTTTCCCTCGCTGTTCCTCTTAGGGTCCTTCTTCCCATTTCACCCTGCTGGGAGTCAGGCCTGCCCAGAAGAGCACATCCCCAAACAGATCAGCCTGCACCGGTTGCAGAGCCAGATGGCCTGCTGAGGGTTCCCACAAGTGCAGGCGTTCTCTGGGGAATGAGCTAACAGTGGAGCTGGGCTCAGAAACCCTGAAGTTGTGGGATTATCCAAAGGGCGGTGGGGCTTCCCTGGCTGTGGGTTTGTGCTGCGTCCGTCTCTAAGGGCAGCTTCTCCTGGGGGATTCTCTCCAGCTGCCCACCCAGTGGGAGCTGGTGAAAGGAGACGTTGGTGTCTCATGGCTCCGGAGCGGGCTCTTCTCCCCATTGCTGGTCCTAAAAGGGAGGGTCCTGTAGGGCTCTCCTCACTCCATGCCCGTGGAGAGCTGCTCACTGTCTCTCGGGTGCCCTGACAGATGAGGCTCACAGTGACAAGGCGAAGGAGAGCATCCGGGCGAAGTGCGTGCAGTACCTGGATCGGGCGGAGAAGCTGAAGGATTATCTACGCAACAAAGACAAACAAAGCAAGAAGCCTGTCAAAGAGTCTCCAAATGATAGCAAGGGGTACGTGTGCAGTCTCCATTGCACCCCCAAGCATGCTCATGCCTGTAACCATGGGAGAGGCCAGCCCTAGGCCCCTGGGCACGCCCTGGGTGCCCCCTCTTCTCCTGGGGGTGACTCCGGCAGTGGGTGTCAAAGCAGCACTTCT